ACTCTTTCCTGCCCAGGGCAGGAGTTTGGACTCAGTGATCTGCTAAGGTCCCTTCCGACCCAAACATCTATGAATCTATATTTTACTATGGGTATTTCCCATGCTTGGTTGGTTGCTCCTCCCCAGCAAACTTGCTGCTACATGTCAGGAAGTTTTTAAGCCTTCCTCAGAGGCATTGGGTGTTGGCTGGGGACTTCAACTGGGGTGTGCCAATGCTCCTGCTGGGATCAATGCCAGAAGTTCTTGGCTAGAAGGTCTTGCCCCTCTGCTCAGAGTCAGGAAGAAATTTTACCCCACAGTCAGACTGATAAGGACTGCAGGGGTTTTTACCTTCCTCTGTAGCAGGGGGTAGGGCCCCTACCTGGGATCTCTCGAGCTTACACTGACATTTCACAGAAGCAGGATGTTGGCTACCATGGTTCCCTGCTTTACCTGCGACAGGTTAGGGTATTATGTCTATGTTGTATCTGGGTTGATGATTACCTTAAGTAGAGTTTAGATTATGGACTGTATGGGGTGGCTTGGATAGGGATGATCCTACTTCACGCAGGGGGTTAGACTAGGCCTCTAGAGATCCCTTCCAGCTCTACTTCCTTCTGATTTTATGAGTCCACTGTTTTCCAACATTAGGTATACACAGGGCATGTTTTCACAGCAGCACTCCTTAACCTGGATGAAGACATGACCTACTAACCATGAAACCTGTGCCTAGCAGGGGACTTGAAGCTTGGTCTCCCAACTCCCAGACCAGCACCCTAATTCATAGACCTTTCTTCCTCCCAATATGTCTAACTTCTCTGATGATTTTCCTCAACGTCACCATCACCTTGCCAGGGAAAGTTCTCCTTGTAACTCAGACAATGTTTTCAGTGTCTGGCTCATTTTAAAAGATCTGCTAAGGCTTCAGTCCATTGAGGAGTTCTGAGAAGCATCCTGTTCTGTGACAGAACAGCTTGAAAGTTGTTTTCTATTTTCCTCTACCCCCAGCTGTTATTAGTAGGAACTTTAATCTGATGTTTGAAGTACGAAGGATTCTGTCAGAGCATGTGTCGTTTGAAATATTCCCTACATCTGCAACCAGGGACATTTTTGCATGAATCCAGGATATTATGAATTTTCTAGTCCTGCTGCTTATTCCCCTACACAGGAGTCAGAAGCCTGTAATGTCCCAGATGGAGCTGACTGCTATGGAGATTATAATAATTTCACAGAGGATTGAGACTGCAGGTGGCAAACAAAGCATCAGAGACACTCCTCACGTAAAGGTCTTTATAACTGAAGAATGCATGGCAAGAATAAAGAAACATATAACACACCAATTTGAACCTTCTGTTTGGGAGAACTGCCAACCCATTTCACATTCATGTTTAAGGGCTTTCATTGGACTTGGGCACATTGTACAAGGAAGGCCAACATCCAGAGAAGATGGAATATACAGCTGGAGGGCAGAACACTAAGAAAAGAGTGAGCCTGGTTGTTGAAGGAAACCTAAAACACCAAGTGAGCAACAGAGAAGGGAAACTAACCAGAAGTGGAATGTAAGAGAATGAACATTGGGGTTAGAAAACTGAGAGGACAGAACAAGTGGGAAGACTGCCTCCCTTGCACACATGCAAGAAACCCACTTCTGTCCTCTGCAAAGGAATGCAATAAGACTGCATTGAGAGCCAGGAGTTCTGGCCTCACAAGATGGGACAGTGACAACACACCATCAATACAGCATTGTTCAGCAGAGAACCTGGGGCATTCAGGGTGAAAACTAGACCCAGTTTCTACAAACTGCTGAAGAATCAGGAGCTGGCAAAGACTGAAAAAAAAATTATTCTCTGTGTGTATGCAAGTAAGTAGGGACAACCTGAGGGACCCCGTAACTCTTGGTTGTTCCCTGCTGCCCAAACATCTTCTAAGTTGATGAAATCACCTTGCCAGACAAGGAGATTTGGAGATCTCATTAAAAACTTGGGTCACCCATAAGAAGCTACTGCAGAGCAATGTGGTCTTTCTTCCATGTTCCTTGTCCCTCATTAAGGCAGGCATAAGGAATGAGCTATAAAAGGGGACTTGCATGGTTTCCAAACCATTTGTTACCAATCCTTAGGACAGTGACTCTCAACCAGGGTGGTGGCCAGGGGTGTCAAGAGAGCCTTTTAAGGGTCATATGGGGCATCATGCACATCCAATGTCAATATTGCAAACACCTACACAATTCACAAGATTCAGAAGTTTGAAATAAAAATCCATATGCTTTAAAACATTCTGACCTGTTGTGGGCCGAGATCTTTGCAACAGAATTGCTCCATTATTTTGTGTAGTCAAAAAATGAGCGAAAGCTAACAGCTATCATTTTCCAAAGGGTGTTTTGAGTCTAACGAGGTTAAAAACTGGTGCCTTAGGGATTAGGCACAAAACATATGATACTCACAAATCAGAACCCTCTGTGATTTTGGCTGCCATAAGACAGACAGGCCTTCATGGCACTTCAGAAGTCTTCGTGGAAAAGCATGAGCTTTATATGCAAAACAATGTACTTCCTTGAACTTACCCTAAGAAGCCACACACAACATTAGTAAAGACCTTGCAATCAGTCTTCCATTGCTAGGCTTGTGGAAGGTACCATGCCAGCTGTTTGAATGTATGTAGTACTGTTGATTTCACACAAAATACTTGTATGGCATTTTTATATTCTTTACTCAAGCTCGCCCCCCCAAAAAAACCCCCAAAAAACAAGATAACAAAACTCTCTCTCTTTTAACCTTGCTCACTACACACCTTGAGACATGGACATGTAACCCAGATAAAAGATCTGCAAGAAGAGAGGGGTTTGCTAGCTGGGGCAGACTAAGGTAATGTATTGGCGTCTAGCATGAGACGAACAAAAGTGTTCCATGCAGCTGATAGCTATAACTAGGCTGTTCCAACTGGCAAAACCACCAAGAATCCTAGATGTTGGGAAGAGGGCGAGGAGCAGAATCCATCTTTGCAAACTGGAGTTCTTCCCATAGGCAATTGACAGCATTTGGCAACAGATATTCTGAAATGCATATCTTCTCCAAAAAATCAGATCCACCAGCCACAGACAGACTATAAACTCCTAGTGTTTTACAGGACCATTGCTGGAAAAGACAGTGCGCCCGCCCGCAAAGAGAAGATTTGAAGTTCTCTTTAAAAATATCTTGTTTCTATACTCATTTTTTTTGACTAGGGGATGGTGCAGGGTTGGGAGTACTTCCACAGAAGAAATTCAGTTGATAGGTCTCATCTGGACACCGTGGCCCAACAACTGCAGATGGTTATGCAGCATGCCCTCATTCAGTTATGGTATGGAGAAGAACTGGGTCAAGGACTGGAACAAAAGGCCTGCGACCCACCAGGACCACAGCGCGCTGGAAAACGGTGTGGTCTAGAACTAGAGTAGCTGGAGCACTGCCGAGAGAGACTTATAGGCAATGAGTCTCAAGCAAGTCTCAGACTAACTTAGCCAACAAGTCAGTGGTTGTTGGTACAGTTCTCAAATCGCTATTTGAGGCATTTGAGGTCTGCAAAGTCATCCTACTATTCTTTGATCCCCGGTCCATATCGTGGCAATTCAGCTCCATCTCAAGCCCTATTATATTGCCACTTCTACTGAAGCCAACAGAATTGACTTTAAATGATCTTTAACCATGAATGAAAACTCCAGTGAAGCTCTGCTGACCTTGCTATGTCAGCTGTGGGTGTGAGAAGGTCACACCCCACAGATAATGCAGTCATGACTGTAAAAGCCCCAGTGTAGAGGCATCTCCACTAGCAGAACAGTGTTTTTGCTATTTGGAGAAGATGGTTTAACTCTAGCAGTAGGGAGGAAATCTCCTTTTGTTGGTAGAGCTGTATCTACACAAGCAGAGCAGCTCTCTGGCACCATAGTTAAAGAGACCCATAATGCAGACTCAGCCTCAGGGCCTTACTGAGCAACACTTGAGTAAGCTTTGTTTCCTTCCTGCTTCTGCTGCCCCCTCAGTCTCTCACACACACTCCCCTATCAAGTTTGGTTTCAGCAGCTGTAAGCTACACAAAAGGAACCACTGAAAATCTTTATGGAGGAAATAATATGCAATTTTCTAGCTGAACACCTTTTAAAATGTAATGACAGAAAATAAAATCCTGCATCTGTGCTCGGCAATAACAATCTGTATGCGCACGGTAACAACATGACACTTGGAATAAGCAAGATCCAGACAAAAAGAGAGCTTACCCAGGCGTCCAAATCCGCAGGCTTGGAATAAAGAGAGTGTGAGAGAGAAGGGGAAGGAAAGAGGAAAAAAGAAAAATCAGTGATTTATGGAGGTTGCCTGCTGCTGCACAATATAGCTTTTAATATGACAAGTTCAGCAAAGTTCCTTTAAAATGATGAGCATTTTAACAGTATGGCTATGTGCCCGTGTGTCCATGTGTGTCCGTGTGTCACACTGTTGTAATGTCCACATATAGAGCCAATGCTGGACAGAGACATTCGAAGCATCTGGGTTCATGGCGTTATGCAAAAATACTGCACAATGCTGGAGACAGCACCATCAGCAACAAAACATAAAGAATGCAGTTGAGACCAGGGGTACCCTACAGTGCCAAACATTTATCCAGCTGCTCTGAGAAGAGGAGCCATCTCCTGTACAAGGTCAATTTTACCTACCCTAAGGTGGTATGGCTGCAATGGGGACTTCCTCACTGAAAGCTTCTTGATTGATCAGCTCTCCAATCAAGTCCCCTTTCACAACCAGGCCAATACACCTACAGTGTAGGCCTGAACTTGAGGCCAGATCTAAGCTGCCTTCCCTCCCTCTTTTGTTCAGGAAGCTGATTTAAGGGCTCCCAGGTAGGAAATGCACAGAGCATGGGAGTGCCAGTATCTCCTCTTACACGCTCTGCTGCTGTCAGGTTATTGTTTAAGTCAAAAATAATAAGTACAGTAGCAAGTACAAGATGATAAACCTTTCTTGCCCATAAACACCTAAGTCTGAAGCCAGGGTGTTTATGAGGCAGCCAAAGCGCTCATTCATTGTGGAGGGCTGCTGTGCCCCCCCTTCTTCTCCAGGCTATGTTCAAATAGGCAGCCCATTCTTTAAGTGGGACCTTTGGACAGACTGCCCTTTTATTTATTTATTTTAAATCACAATTATTTATTTGAGGGGGGCTGGCAAAGTGGGACAAACGCTCTCATTGATTGTAGTTCAGTGCCAGAGGGAACAGACGGCAGAGTGCAAGGGGTTTATGGGAGTTGCAATCATTTGAACGGCACAGAGCAGTTACCTGAGATTACTGAAGGATGATACGCAATTAGCTGTGTATGTTGTCTGTCCCCACCCTTTGTAACAGCCAAGAGGGGTGGAACTGAAGACAGACAAACAGACAGACAGGAAGGAATATATATAGTACAAGTGGCTGAAGCCAATTCCCTCCTTTCTGCATCACCACCAAGTCTCCAGCAAGCCAACACCCACCAACAACTGAGCTTGACAGAAGCCTGGTTTGAATAAACTCTCTCTTTCCTGGTATCTACAGATGAGACAATGTGTTGGGGTTTTTTGTTTTTGTGCTGTTGTTTTTTTAAATAGTCCAAGACTCAAGAGAGCATCTCATCTCATTGGATGGATAGAAAGGAGCGAGTGTACGGCTGTTTGTAGCACATTTAATTAGAGATGCCACATACAGGTAGCTTTTTGCAGGATCTACATCAGTCATTCACAGCGCACTTACATCATTACCTGCTATGCTCCTAGCATGTGTTTTGTCACGCAAACATCTGCACACAAACAGGTACTCACTCACTCCCTTTTGGACAGTCTCTGCAGAAATGCAAAGTAATGAGAATGAATTTACCCTCCCACCCTCCAGGCAGCTTCTCCGCACCAAGTTTGAGACAATTTTCCACTGCTCTTGCCCATGCCAAACCTGCTCTGCAGCTACAGTGTTTTGTTTCCAAAGGTTTAAATCTGCCACCTTTTGTAAAGTGAAAAATCACTAAGAGTCACTGAATGGAAAAAAGTTTTATGAACAGATTTAAAATATAAAACTTAGATTCCTCCTTTAACTGTACAGGGTGCAAAAGTTTGCTACCAAAACAGGCACCACAGCAATATCAATATCACCTTATACTGGGTAGCCACATGGAAAAGAACAGTGCCCATTTGGATTTTGGCTTTATTCAGGAACTAGGCAAATAAAGGCATGCATGTCCAGAAAGTTCAGGTGAGCCAGAGATGGCATGCTAGGCTAGGAGCAGTGTCTCAAGTATCTTGCAAAAGTTTCTTGGTCCACTGTACTGTTCACTTGTATTACATTTTTGGCTTTTCATTTTCCCCACACCAGCAAACATAGTCACACATACATGCGTTACCAGAAGTTTTCGCACCTATCCAGACTATGACAGGTAACACTCAGTTTAAGTTTTACTATCTGTCTGACACCATGCTACAATATGGCTGGCACTCAAAAAGTGGGCTAGGTTGGTGCCTGTGCACTGTACCAATCTGGATGGAATCAACAGTTGCCCAGGGAAACTCCAGATGTTATTTTTAAGGAAGGTCATACATCCAACTCCAAGGGCAGCCAAGGTCGCAACAAAAACCTTGACTCTTGGGCTAGACATTTCCTACTTAGGGAGTCAGCAGGAAAATGGATATAATAGTTACAAGGCATTGCCAGTGTCAGAAGAGGGAAAGGGAGAAGTGGGAATAAGAGAAGCTACAAAAATCTTGGCCAAATATGACATGACAGAAACCTCAACGCAGGGAACACAACAGGTTCACAACACACAAATCAGCTGTATTAACAACTTGGGGATAGGCACACTACAGTCTGAGGGGTTATGGCATACGATGTGCTGGCATCCCGATGGCCAGGCTTCATCTTCTGAACCAGCAAAGAGCAAGTTTTCTTCAAAGAGAAAAATCTGGAGCCCAAAACATCTTCATGATGACTGGTATTAGAGAGCCTTAAGAGCACAAGTAGACCCTCATTACCCACATATCTGTTGTCTCATGCTCCCAGCCCCTTAAACACTTCCACTTTAACAGAAAACTGAAGCAGCATCAGTATTAAACATAATAAGAGGCAGATATTGTTGCCAGCCAACAGAGAAGGAGCAGGGAGAGGGAGAGGGAGAGAGAGAGAGAGAGAGAGAGAGAGAGCGGCAACTGAGCTGTGATCAATTTTAAGGAAAGGCTCAGATGAAATTGCCCAAGTCTAATGTATACCAAACATATACAATTTTATAAACATGGAAGATAGAAAGTAGCAGTAAAAGCCTCTGCCCCTTTATGATTCAGGGACAACAGCAGCTCTAATGCTTATAGCATTGCTGCAAATGAGTTGGTGATGCCTACTGTTGATAGTTTTCATTTAAAATGGAGAGAGAGAAATCTATTTTACAAAATCCAAAGTAAACCAGCTGCTTTCTTTGCTTACTTTAACACTTCCCCCTCACCCCACATTCTCCCCTCCCCACCATCCCCCTGATACACACTTACAGAGCTCTCATTACTCAGACTGCCAATACGCAAGGCATTGAATGCCTCCCCTATGGAAAGCTTATGGAGAGAGTATAGGCTCTCCAGAGACAAATGCTCAAAATATTTAAGGTCTGACAGCAAACAAGGCAAAAACTAATCTGTTTAAGCCTTCATTTCTCCTCCCAAGTTCCTCTTAGGCAAATGCAGTTCTAAGGTTCCTGAGCTCACCCAGAAGAACAGAAGCCAGCTGTTGAAGGACACGAGGTTCTACCTCAATTGCACCTTACCTTTTCCAAATTAGATTTGCTCAGCCTACAAGTGAATAGGCTTTTTCCCCACCCAAGGAGCCAATCCTATGAACCTATCAGCTCCTTAATTATTTCTGGTTTGTGCCTCATCAGTCTAGGACTTTGCCTACCTAACAACTTGACCCGCTGGGATATCACTGGGGAGGAGGATGGGTGGTGGTAGTAGTGGCCCCACACACCTATCCTCAGCTCAGTTCACATAGGTGGAGTAGAAAAGGTGAGGGGACCAGTTTCTCTCAAGCCACTCGGAGCACAGAGATACCCACATTTGAATGGAACGCTACAGATGGATTATTATATCGAAACCCTACCAATGCTATATGAAATTCATAGTGCACCTGTAATCAACACACCTGCCTCTGGGCAGCATAAAATGATCAATGCATAGGGCCAGGAAAGAGCATTCTCTACCCCACTGCACAGCACAACACAATCATAGGGATGAATGGGAAACTTTCATCTGCCCCTGAAAACATCAGCAACTGCTGGCAACAGAATACTGTAGTAGATGGTCCATTGGACTAATCCAGTACAACAAATTCTGCCAAAGCAGCTGTCACAAGATTGGAAATCTAATTTCTATTCATTTAAGAAGCTTCTCTTAAACTCTCTTTTCTCTAAAGGGAATGAAGTCAGCTTTGAGGCTTTTTTTTTTAATATGGGCAAAAAATGGTCTTATTAGCTATATGCTTGGGTAAGGAAATCCTTTAAAGTTTTCAGAGATCGCAGTCACGTATCTGCTTCGTCTCCCTGCAGAAGTATCCCATCTCCATGCAAGGTCATTTTGCAAATGAAGACTCAATGGTCCAGTTTCCAACATCATAGAAGGGATTTTTGACAAGGCCAGACACTTGCACATGTTACTGTATATTCTATACTCTCACTCAGACATACATAGAACATACCTTAACCAGCAGTACACTCACGGTATCTTCCAGTTTCTGCACTAGAGCCTAATAAAACACTTGAATGTGTGAGAAAGCCATGAAGACAATCAAGGAAAAGACTTGGCATTAACCAATTGCCTTCTAAATCCCGCTGGGAAGAAACAAGATAGATATACATGGACATAGGGGATACACCATCTTTCTGAGCTGCCTCAGAACCTGAAATGAGGTGGGTTAAAGCAAGGTAAAATGGAGACAGAAGCTTTGAGCTAGAGATAATAAGGACTACCTGGAAGAGGAAAAAGGACTGTGTATCGAGATGACTTGACTGCAGAATCCTTCGCTTCCACGATCATTCAGTAAAAACAAACAGGCAGTGTGTAAATTCCCCCACCTATGGTTCTGTTAAAGCACCTCAGTCTTGGCCCAAAGCACCCACATCACACTAATCCTTTTCCTGCTAGGAAAAAGCTGCCAAATTAGGTTATGGTTTTGAGCTACAGAAAAATGTCCACTAAGGACTTGATTCTCACTTCTGGAGGCTTTGCTTCCAACTGTGCATTCTAAATAGCG